GAAATACAGGAGTTCCCAGAATTCTCAGGAGAAGGCCATGCCCACACAGAGGCCTCATTTGTTGTATCTTTATTGTCAGATCAGACTCCATCCCCTCACTCGTAATCTTCTCAAGTCCCAAACTGATGCCAGGTTATGTAACTACCACAGCCATACAAAACATGAGCAACAAAAGGAAGTTGGGCATCAAAATGAAAAGCTTTTGTTCATTGAAAGACATTCAGGAAAGTAAAAGAGAACTGACCGAGGGGATTTATGGGAGAAAATATTTGCAAATTGTATGTGTTAAGGGTTTGGCATACAGAATAGATAAATAACTCAATTTAACAATAAAAAATGAGAAATATTTTTAAATGGGCACAAGACTTGAGTAAGATTGTATGTCTACAAAGAAGACATACAACGGACTAATAAGGACATAAAAATTCTCAAGAACAAGTCCCTTGAATTGTAAACAGGGATTCAAACATATATGAAACCAATGATCATGGCAGTACTGGGTCACAACAGACAAATGGTGGAAACAGTCCAAGAGATGAATGGGTCAATGCCCACCAATAGATAAATGGATAAACAACATGTGGTGTATGCTTACCCAGAAGATTACTGGCCATAAGAAAGGGTGAAATTCTGACCCATGCTGTAATATGGGTGAACCTTGAAAACATGGTGCTAAGTGAAATAAACTCAATACAAAAGGACAACTATTTCATGATCTCACTTATATGAAATATCTAGAGTAAGCAAATAGAGACAGGAGGTAGATGAGAGGTTACTAGTTGCTGGAGGGAAGGGAGAGTGGGAGGTATGCTTCATGAGCATAGTGTTTGTTTGAGGGGATGAAGAATCTTTGGAAATAGTGGTGATGGTTACACAACATTGTGAACGTAATTAATGCCACTGAAATGTACATATGGAAATAATTAAAATGGTACATTTCATTTATGCTTTGCCACGACAGAGCAAAACCCCCAAAGGAGTACAGATAGAGTGGAGGGTAGAGAGGGCGGATCAAACATTTGCCGGGAAGGAGGGGACTTTTTTGAAGAAGGCAGGGTTTCTGATACAATCTGCTCTAGTGCGGAGAGGAAGCCACCTTCGTTTGGGCTATTTCTCAACCTCAGCAGGTGCTAAGGGAGCAGACTGGAGGAAACTGGCTGCTTCATTGATGCCTCGGGAAATTCCTGGTCAGTTTAAACTCTCGATTTAGGACGATAGGATTAGTACTTCGTTTTTAAAACTTCCTCCCTAGATGCTCTGCGCTCTCTTCTCCCTCCGAGGTCAATGTTAGTGTTCACTAGCCTTGATGAGCGGTGTACAACTCAGAAGCCTGAAGTGACCTTGCCTGTCTCAGCTCAGACTTTCAATCTATGGCCTTCATTTGGCAAAGTCAGTCCCATAGTAACTAAAATATTCCAGAGTCATTTGAAATGCAAGAAACTTTCTGGGGCTTCTAATAATTGCTACATGATGTTAGAAGGCAGGGTGGGATATCCATGGCAGAGAAGTAAAGTTTGGAGAAACTTCAAAACAATATTTTGATAGTCACAAAATAATTACCTACCAACGTCTTCTTTTATTCCACGGGCTTTCTAATGACTAAGGCCCATAGTTTGTATAGTGTATAACCTGATTACTCAACATTGAGAGAGTAGCTATTGAGATGAAATTGTTGCAATGATAAAGAAAAAGAAATTGACGGTTCTAGAGATGCGCCTTCTGAAGTTTGCACCGGAGCTTCCACGATGTCCTGAAAGTCCCAGTTTTCACCCTGCCTGGTGTACAATGATTGGCTTCCATCAGAAATTTGGATTCAGCTTGGAAACATTTCATGTTACTCCAACGGGACAGAGTATGGGTGTTGGGGATACCACAGGAATTTTAAAAATTATCTTCTCTTAACGCAACAGAAATCATTCCATATTCAATCATTCGAATGATGCTATTTTTATCTTTTCTCCTAGATTTCAGGGAATTAAAAATAATAACAACTAATATTTACTGTGCAGGTAGCAAGTATGTGACCTACTTCCAACCACTTTGCAATCCATTTGCTTCACATGGTTCCCTACAAAATAGAATGTTTGGGTTTTTATTTTTTTCCTGCTATTGCATAATATTATTAGTGATCTGCTTTTGGTATCAAAATTATGATGGCGGTACTAACAATCAATTGTTTCCATCTTTACGAATTATTAGATCTGGCAAGGGGTAAATGGTTGAATTGTCAACGCAACAATATCATTTTGCTATTTTTGGTTTTCACAGGATGGCTGGTGGACACAACTGGCAGCTACACCGCAGCCTTTCTTGTCTGTGGATTCTCCATGATATTTAGTTCTGTGTTGCTTGGTCTTGCAAGACTTGTAAAGAAGATGAAAAAAACCGAGCTGCGGTTTCTTGCCCAAGAATCAGACCCCAAGGTGCAGCTATGGACCAATGGGTCTGTGGCTTATTCTGTAGCAAGAGAACTAGATCAGAAGGATGGAGAATCTGTGGCCACAGCCATGCCTGGTTATAACCCCACATGACCAATGGCCTTTGGACTGGGAAATCCTCAGAGCTGAGAGAGGTGGGGCCACTGGATTGCAGTATACATGTTTCTGAAGCATTTTCTTTTGGCAGGAGCATTGCCTTCCAAGGAGATTGGTATTTTGGGATTAACATTTTGATTTTGGATGAACATGCTTTTAGGGGAGAACAGTAAATAACAAACAAACCTCCCCAGAGGTTCCTCATTTGGGGATATGGACTTCTTATGGATCACATCACATAGCTCCATGGGGAATACAAAGGCAGAGCTGATATGACTGGTTCTAAGTAAGGGTAATGTCAATGCACGACCAAATCAAGTGTGCTTTGGGCAGCACTGTGTCTTAAAGTCTCCCTCCTCGGTCAGCAGGTAAATGGCAACATTGACAGACAGGTTTGCTCTTTGGAGGATGAGGGTCAGCTCAGCTTGGGTGTGGTTGTGGAGGGTGAAGATATAAAACATTTCCATGATGGAGTTTCTTGTTAGACTCTTAAATAAGTATGTTGAAGAATATTTTTGATCTGCCATGAAAGTGACACACACACCCCCGCTTTTTTTTTCTTTTTCCTTTTTCTTTTTACTCTGCTCACCACCACTTTGAGAATCATTGGCTACCACCATTGGATAGATCTTCCAGGGGGGCTAGTATGATTTTCTACTTGAAATTTTTCACTGGATACTCAACGCTTTTTCAAAGACTGATCTCATCTCAATTATGATCATAGACAATTTAGCGTGGCACCCCCCAAAAGTCCATGGAAACTTTCCATCTTAGCTGGAATGTGAACACTCCTAAAACATCCCAATATTTTTTTCTGCCGGGGTGGGGGTGGGGGCCGCGGGAAGGAAGTTCTTATTTAAACAGCAGGCACATTCTTAGTAAGAACAGGAAATGCCAAATTCCAACTGGGCGGGAATAAAATTCTCGAACCAGTAGGTCTCCACTAAAGTTGTTCTGTTCCCATCAGACAGTGAGGTCCGTCATTGCCCAACACAGACTGGGAACTCTGACCTGAAGATGTTCTCCTAGAGAGAGTCTAAAGCTGAGCTTCCCTGCCCCGCTTCATTCCTGTTCCAAGATCCACGCTCTCCGCTGCTATGGACAATCATTGGAAACTTGGTGGAACTTTTCAGCACAATGAGACGGTTTCAGGGGAAATGTCAGCACTCCTCCCCCCATGTATCCAAGCTTCTGCCAGGTCAGAAGGGGGAAATCGAAGAAGGCGACATGTGTGGCATCTAAGAGGTTTCAGAACCCTTCCACATACTTTAGCTCACTGGATTAGGAAAGTTTACTCATTCCCAAGTACCTCTGTTTCTTATGATGTGTGACCACTGTGGATCCTTCCGATTGAAGAGCAGGGCGTGGAGAGAGAGAAAGGAAGAAAGGTGGGAAAAATAAAATCTGAAGCTTGAGGAAATATTTTTACTCTGAAAGCCACTTAATCCCACTGTCCTCACAAGGGCACTGTCCAGGGAACGCAGCAGCGAGGAAGATCCTGCATTGACTGGGCTGCCCAGCAGGACGCCTTCCCTATAACTGCCTTCTGCAGGTTAAACTTTGATAAAACCGACAAAACGTCAATCCATTACTTCTAAAACAAAGGTTTTACTTTTGTTTGATGGAAGAAAGTAATATTTCATTTTGAGTTGTTTTCCAAAGAGAAATGTAAGTGTTACCTTTCTACTTAGGCTGAGAATTTCCTTTAAATCCATTGACTGTCTTTTGTCAGTAAAAAGAATAATTTTGAAATATTATAATGTTTGTGATTAAAAAGAATAGTTTTGAAATAATTTGAAAATATTTCTTAAAAAGTCAAGGTTAATTTGTTTGGAATAGTGCTGCGTACTACATGTCTTTTCTTGAGTCTTCAAGTCTAAAGACTTTTTGAAATATATTCTTAAAAAAATATTCACATCCATGTCTTTTTTCATAACAGTAATCACAAAATTTGTATGCGGTTCTGTAATAATAATTTCTTTAAAGTATTACCAGCATTCATGAAAATAAGCATAGAGACCAGAGCTTTCAAAGATTTGTGTAAAAACCTTTGTAATGTTTGATTTTATACATATGGAAGTTTTCATTTTCATTTAACCTTTTGCAGCAAAATTTTTAGAAAACCAGTAAGAAAAATGCAGATCTTCGAGTCCTACCATTTTGTCACCTACACAAAATTTTACTTTTAAGGTTCCATGTGCCTGCACTGCTCATTTTTAAAAATTGAAGGATGCAAGGGAATGGTATATTTTGTGGGATCAAAAAAGTGTGTTGAGAGGTTTCGACATCTCAAATATTTATTTACTTGACAAGCTAGACTTTGAAATGGACTGACTAGACAGCCGGAAGACACTAACCTTTGTAGATACACTGTATCCTCCCACCTTTTTTTCATATTGTAATTTCACTAAGAGACCAAATATTTATGTTAATATTTTCTTATTTCAAAAGCACAATAAAGAATTTATAATCATGTTGCAAGACTATAAGCCCTGGACAATGGGTTTAGACTTGATGGTGTGTGGATCTGTCTAGATCATGCCAAGATAGAGTTGTTCAATACAGGTAGGGTAAACAGCCAAGTAATTTATAAAAATCAAGCCCATTTATTATTTCCAATGTCCAAGTATTTAATGTCTCATTAAATCCTCAAAATCTATACAACAAACCACTTTGTAGATATGGAAACTGAGATGCCAGACGCCACAGCTGGTGACTCAGACACTCCACTCTAGTGCCGCCACTGTGGAGTCCTATAAAACTGAGATGCTCCCTGATGTGGGAACCTGTACCCTTCTGTCTGCGCCTGTGTTGATCATCTTCCAACATGGGCTCGTGAAGCCATTTGGGAAAAGGTTCTTTCTCGAGCACAAAAATCCTTTGGGTAATACCTCAATCTTTCAGCAAGTATAGAAGGTGGATTCAAGATTGGGAATTTTTTAAAAATCATTTTATTGGGGGCTCATACAACTCTTATCACAATCCATACATACATCCATTATGTCAAGCACATTTGTACATCTGTTTACCATCATCATTCTCAAAACATTTGCTTTCTACTTGAGTCCTTGGTATCAGCTCTTCATTTTTTCCTCTCCCTCCCCCTCCCCCCTCCCTCATGAACCCTTGATAATTTATAAATTATCATTTTGTCATGTTACACTGTCTGACATCTCCCTTCACCCACTTTTCTGTTGTCCACCCCCCAGCGAGGGGGTTATGTGTAGATCCTTATAATCGGTTCCCTCTTTACACCCCACCTTCCCTCCACCCTCTGGTATCGCCACTCTCACCACCCCACTGGTCCTGAAGGCATCATCTGTCCTGGATTCCCTGTGTTTCCAGTTCCTATCTGTACCAGTGTACATTCTCTGATCTAGCCAGATTTGTAAGGTAGAATTTGGATCATGATAGTGGGGGGAGGAAGCATTAAAGAACTAGAGGAAAGTTGTATGTTTTGTTGTTGCTACACTGCATCCTGACTGGCTTGTCTCCTCCCTGAGACCCTTCTGTAAGAGATGTCCAGTTGTCTACAGTGGGTCCCCACTCCGCACTGCCTCTCATTCTCAATGATAGGATTTTTTGTTCTTTGATGCCTGATACCTGATCCCTTTGATATCTCATGGTCACACAGGCTGGTGTGCTTCTTCCATGTGGACTTTGTTGCTTCTCAGCTAGATGTCCGCTTGTTTATCTTCAAGCTTTTAAGATCCCAGATGCTGTATCTTTTGACAGCCGGGCACCATCAGCTTTCTTCACTACATTTGCTTATGCACCTGCTTTGTCTTCAGCAATCGTGTCAGGAAGGTGAGCACAAGATTGGAAAATTTTTAAAGTTTTCTCCAGAGACTTGTTCTACCAAGACCACTACTATCAGGCTAAGGGTCTTAATTTGCTGTTGGATATAGACTTCTCTTGGGGACTTTCTGTGGGGTTGTGAGATGGCGGGTTTTGTTTCATACCACGGGAATTGACAAATATTAAATAATGGTAACGGTCTGTTAAAAACAATTTGTTATTGTGATTTAGGTGAAGCACGACAGAGCAGATCAGTTTCCATTCAACAATTCAGTGCAATTTTGTTTCATAATGTGGATCGAAATTCCCACGACTGCCACATCTGTCCTACTCCCCACCTGTGCTTCCTGCTTCTACACCTTCTTCTTTCCAAACCCTTCTGAACTTTCTCCTCAGAAGAAATGCTGCCTTTTGATCTCAAATGGCTAAGGGTTCTAAGGCGTGCATACGTCTCTAGTTATTGTTGTTTGGCAGAGGATTGAACCACTTGGGTGAGTTCATTTACAGACTCAGAGTGACCACGGTCCACAATCCCAGGGGTTCCACTCATCTCTGACCACTAAGCCTGGCTTGTTCCATATTTTCTCCCCCCCTGCATCTGAGACTTTCTAAGGTGATCCCTTTCAGAGCCCTTAGTCGTGGTGGCCAGTCCCCATCTAGTTCTTCTGGCCCATGAGTTGCCCCAGTCACTACTCACCAAACAAAGGACGTGGAACATTGTCTTTGTGGATTGCGTTATGCTAATTGGCCTTGGTATTTTCTGAGACCCTGGTCTTGAGCCCTTAGGCCCCGTGACTCATTTCCTCATGGTTGGTTAAAAACATAACATTTTATGGAAAATTTCAAGCCTGTAGACAAGTAGAAAAATAGCCAAGTGAAGCGGACATGTACATCTTTCAGCATTGGCCCGTTACTGTCCACTTTGATGATGCAATGTGAAGTATTAACATGTTGACCACACATGTCTTCCTTCAGCTATCTAGGAGCAATTGAGCTCAGCAAAAATAATGTGAACATGCTAGAGGGTGAGAGTGGTTAGGGTCACCAATCAATTATTACCTATAATGCTCACTAGGGCCCTTTCTGGTATCTAAATTTGGGGGAGGGTGTTTGAACTGTAGGTTAAAGTTTTGCCCCCATCCCTCACTGTTTCATTCCTCATGTAGATCTATCTACTCAAAGCCTAGAACCAAGTCAACTAAGCACATAGTTCTTCATCCTTTTGGATGACAGGCGTCATTCTCAATCTTAATTGTTAACAGGTTTGTGGTTTCTTTTGAAGGAACTGGGACTTAGGGTTGGTCTAAAATTAAAATTTAATACCCTATTTTTTTAAAGGAGTTAATGATTGGTCAACTTACATTTTGAATCGGCATTAAAACTCCCATTTTAAAATGTGGCACTTCACCAGGACCACTGGTTCTTGGGTGATGGCAAGCGTGATCTTCAACTGCTGACAGAAGCAGATGGCAGTAATAGTTGGACAGGTTCCTTGTTGTTAGGGGCTGTCGACTTGGTTCCGATCCAAGCAACCCTCTGTGCGACAGAAGGAAGACCACACCTTACTCACAGTTGCTATGTTTGAGCCCATTGATGCCACCACTCTGTCAATCCACCTCCTTGATTTACTTTCCACTTTTTTGCTTCCCCTCCACTTTACTTCGCATGATGCCCTGCACCAGGCACTAGTCCCTCCTGATAACATGTCCAAAATATGTGAGCTAAAATCTCACTATCCTCACCCTCCGGGATCCTTGTCCCTCAGATCTAAATGTTGGTCTGATTGGCTGAAAAAGGAGGAAGAATAAAACTGAAGTAGAGTTGGAGTCTTTAATGACTTACAAGTTCATTTCAAGCATAGGGGGAAAAATCTCACCATCCTCACTTCCTCTTCTTCTTTTTAAAAAATCATTTTGTTGGGGGCGCAAACAACTCATCACAATCCATCCATCCATGCACTGTATCAAGCACATTTGTACATTTGTTGCCATCATCATTTTCAAAACATTTTCTTTCTACTTGAGCCCTTGGTATCAGCTTCTCATTCCTCCCCCCAACCATCCCTCACTTCTAAGGAGCATTCTGGCTTTACTTCTTCCAGACAAACATGTTTCTTTGTTGGCAGTCCACGGTAGTGTTGGTATTCTTCAACAGCACCGTAATTCCAATTCTTCTTTAGTCTTCCTTATTTAAATATCCAACTTTCCTATGCACATGAGGCATTTGAAAGCACCATGGCCGGGGGCAGGCGCACCTTTCTCCGCTCAGTAATATCCTTGCTCTCCAACACTTTAAAGCTGCCTCCGTGAGCATTGGTTGTGGATCTAAGCATGATGAAATCCTTGGCTTCTTTCTTTTCTTCTCTTCAATCTTTTCTTCCCCATTTACCGATTGGTACAATTATGATGCTTTTGGTCTTCTTTGCATTGAGTTGTAATCCACACTGAAGGTTGCAATCCTTGATCTTCATCAGCAAGAGCTTCTGGTCCTCCTCACTTTCAGCAGGCAAGTGCTGAAGGTTGTTCATAAACCTTCCTCCAATCCAGATGCCCCTTCTTCACGGAGCCCAGTTTCTCGTATGACCTGCCCAGTATACAGATTGAATAAGGATGGTGAAAGGATACAACCCTGAGGCTCACCTTTCTTGATCTTAAACCATGTGGTATTCCTAAGCTCTGTTCAAACCATGACCTCCTGATCCACATACAGTGTTCTGGAATTCCCATTATTCTCAGTGCTCTCCACAGTTGCGATCCACACAGTTGAAAGCCTTTGAAGAGCCGATGAAACACTAGTAAAACGTTTCTGCTTTCAGCCAAGGTCCGCCACTTGGTGATCAGTTTCTCGTGTTATGGCAGCTTGGTGCGATGGTTGAAACGAGGTCACGGGCATTTCAAAGCAGTATCACCCAAGGTGAACAGGGGTCGGCAGAGCTTCTAGACCAAAAGCAGACTCTGAAGGACTAGGTTGTCCACTTCTGAGGACTTAACTGCTGAAAACGTACCTGGGCAGGCTTGGGGAAGAGAGTGATGGTGGCAAAGAGAAGATTACAGAAAGATATGAAATCACTAAAATTTTTGACTGGGTCCGAAGATAAAATGCACACTGCTGTGTTCAACCCAGACAAGCTTATTTAAATAAGTTCAGTTGCCGCTGGGTAAACACTGGGCTGCTAATTGCAAGGTTAGCAGTTCAAACCCATCCCCCACTCTGCTCCTCAGGAGAGCGATGAGGCCGCCTGCTCCCATCAAGATGTATAGTCTTGGAAGCCCTATACGGACGGAGTCACCATGAGTTGGAATGGAAGTGGCTTGTGCTCAACTGATGATGAGCCCAGGAATGGGGCCTTGCTCACACCAGGGCTTGGGGCTAGTGTAGTCCAGTGTGCCACTGCTCCCACAACCTAAGAATTCCCATTTCCACCCTGGAGTTCCTGAACCAGAATCTACATGTTAACATTTCAACAAGTACTTCTTATGCATCTATCCCTAAAAATCTATAAGACATCTGTAAATATCTCCCAGGGATCTTGCAAATGTTAATTCGGATATAGTGTATCTGGAAATTTTCAGCAGGGCATCAAACCACAGTGGGCTGATTCAAAGCCCTGGCTCACACAAGAGTGCCCTGGAACATGGGGGAAAGGTGGGGCTCAGACGCCCCGTGCAGGACAAGATGTGGTTTCA